TCGAGGGTTTGAGTAGTAGCTCCATCCTTCTATATACCTAACCCAACTAGCTAATTAAGTAACTAACTAGTCGACACTTTCAACCCATCTCGATAGACTAACTAATTACTTAGTATACTGAGAATCAAACAAAGTGCAAACACAGTAATCTGATTGGTAACTGCACCTCAACCGGTGAGTGAAAGTGGGTCAAAACAGCAAGGGACGGACGGGGACGGGAAAAAGGAGTGCACGGATCAAGTTGGGTCTTGCTCTAAGTAAGTACTAAGTAAGTAAGTTCCGTGATCCATCTGGCAACAACATATTTCTTCGAGGCTTGAAGTTTAAATTCATTTCTGTGAATTTGAAGTAGGCTGGATGGATGTCTCAGCCGCTTATTGATTTTGAGTGCATTGTGTATGTGGCTGTAGTACCCAATCGGAGGTAAGTGCCGTTGGTCGGTACTACTTACTACTAGTACTTTGTAAATAGTCGTTGTAAATGGTAGGCTACCATGTTGTATACGAGCATCACAGTTACTGAACTAGGGAAGTTATTAGTAGTTTAGTTAGTTACCTGACGCTGTGGTAATGTCATAGTTGGTAGTTCACTGCTGCTGTCACTCTTTGTCAAGAATATCTCCGGCTTTCCAATATTAGCAAATCCGGCAGCATGTCATGTTGGATGATGTTAACAACGTGTTGCGATTCTGTGGGATGATCGATCAATCCATGTTGACTGAATTCAGAATTTTGTTGTTAAATTTCCTCAATCTTCAAAACCCGACAACCAGCTCATCAATCTTAAACGCAGTCAAAACCAGCTACTGTACTTCATGGTCCAGAACTTTGTGAGTAACGAACGAATGAGCATGTTACGTCAAAGGGGGGCCATTCCCCTGAGGGTGGGGCCTGATCGTGGCAGTGCAAAATGCATAGTTGAACTAGTGAGTGGGTTTTTCCACCATCATCCGGTGTCACGGCAGTCCCAGGAACATGGTATGTTTGATCAGTACTAGTAATTTATTCATGATGAAGGGACTCTGGCATAGTGGGGATTATTTATTGAGAAAGGATGGATGCTATGTAAGTAGGTAGAATTAATGCTGACCTCTTTCTTAATTTATTAAACTGCATTAGGTATCAACATGAGATCGAAAGATTCAAATTCAAGTGATTGAAGGTGGCTGGAGCTGGAAGCATCAGACCCACCCGGATTAGTCCGGGAGCTCGAGTCTCGTCACAAACAGCCGATTCCTGCTGCTGCTTTCTCATCCTGCATCGGGTGGGAAAGAAAAAAAAGCTCAGGCTCTATCGATCTATCCTCTGCATTAGTCTACATCACCATTACCCGGCATGGAGAAGCTGGTCCGCACGCTGGTGTCTATCACTCTTTCCACCCAGTAAACCCCCATAATCCCAACTTTTCAGTCCTTTCCTTTCCAAACTTTCCTTCTCAAGTACTACTTAACTCTTCCCCCCAATCCCATTCCCCGGTCGGCTTCGGGCAGTATCCTCTGGTCCCAATTGTCTCCCGCGAAGTGGTCAACGTCATCGTCATCCAACTCCCATCAATCTCTCGTTTAAAAGTACCCCTTCCTGCCCAGAGAGTCAAGTTAAAAAAGATTTCTAACCCGTCTCAGGTAGCATTACGACTGTCAGTCACTACGAGTAACTACTTACTTTATTACTCTTCCTCAACTTAGCCCCCCACACCCTGCCACAATCACACTGGGCAGCTTTCCACACTTTTCCCCCCCTCCTCCATCAATCCCTGGAACGTTGGATGATCTGGATTGAGGCTGTGCAGCTGCCTCCCTCCTTTTGGTCCATCCCCTCAGTCTTTGGTCCACCAGAATTTCCTCATCAACCAATTACCACCGCCAGTGGAACATCCGGAATCGTGATCACTGCTTAGCGACTCTTTCGGCTACCACTAGAATCTGTACGGGTTGGAGTACGTAGCCACCATCTCTTGGCCCCTGTACCTTGCAAAACTCCCTTTCTTTGGTTCATTCATCACCCTGGAAAAAAGCTCAACGTGTGCACGCGTCGCACGGTTCTAGCCATTCCTGATTCGCCGTGTCCAAGCCTGCAAGGTGGCTTGTGCTGTGATAATCCTTTGCTAAGCACAAGCAAAGTTCAGAAGAAAGCCTACCCACGCGACAAGCCACAACATCAGACTTGCTCCATCCGATCACGGGGTGCTACATTGGCAACCGACTGTTCAATTCGATTAAGCCCCGTTTCCAAGAGTCGACTGGAAAAAAAACTTTAGATCAGAAGACCCAGTCGCTCATATCGCTTATATCTCTCAACCCCCGTTTGTTGTGGTTCCAGATTGTCGCCACAGGACTGACATTTCCCAATGGGTAAGTGTTAGAGAGAGAACCATCCTTCCTTAGCACTCCTCATCCATGTTTCGAGTCCTGCTCCTACCTAATTCTTAATTCCGTTTCCCCACCTCAAGTTTCTTCACATCTACGTCCCTCTTATTCAGGTATCATTGTCCTTCCATTCGTTTGCTTTTACCTTTTGCTTTTTCACTCTCTCTTGCTGGCTGGCTATGATCGGCACGGCTTGTTGTTTCTTCACGCACACTTAGATCAGTATACTCTGTGGCAGTATATCCGGTCGTTCATAAGCTTTACACTTTCCCCACTCTTTGTTCGTTTAAACTGCTTTGTCGTGTCAACTCGCCTTCCTTTCCTATTTGTTATTCTCACAACACCATCCGTGGCGAATGACGACCATTGCCAGCCTTTGTCTCATCTTTTCACATCTACCCGCCTTGTCCTATTAGGTGCTACGCTCGGTAGACTGGGCTAACAAATTTTCCAACGTGCTTTTACAGCGACCAACAATATCTTCAAGTCGTTTAGACGCTACTCCTGGGGTCCCAAACGGAGAATGACGGGCCTATCATCTGAAAATGGTTCCACGGAGCCTGATGAGAGAGCAGCATTGCTCGGCGACATTGCTCGCAGTAACTCCGGCCTCCGTCCGCGACAGCAGAAGCAGCACTGGTCTCACTGGCCGAGGCGTGTGGCTCATTTGACCTGGTCGACTCTCGTTCGCGATTATGTCAATGTTCTGCTCATTTTCGTGCCACTCGGTATCGTCTCCGGTGTTCTCCATTGGGACAGCACGGTCATTTTCACCTTGAACTTTCTCGCAATCATCCCTCTGGCCTCTCTTCTGAGTTTCGCGACTGAAGAACTGGCAGCTACCATGGGCCAAGCCCTGGGAGGCTTGATGAATGCCACGTTTGGCAATGCCGTGGAGTTGATCGTATGTATATCTCAAACTATTCTCTAATGAGTTATTATGACCCGGCGCTGACAAGCATTGCCCGGATAGGTCAGTATCATTGCTCTAAAAGACAATCAAATCCGCGTGGTCCAAGCCAGTATGCTTGGTAGCATCCTGTCCAACATTCTGCTCGTTCTCGGCTGCTGCTTCTTCGTCGGAGGTCTCAAGTACTCGCAGCAATCTTTCAATAGCACGGTAGCGTCGACAATGTCATCCCTGATGACGGTTTCGTCTGCTTCGCTGATCATTCCCGCCACCCTTTACGCCTCTTTGAGTGGCTCCAACGATAAGGAGCAAAGACGTGACAACATCCTGATCCTCTCGCACGGAACTGCCATCATCCTTTTGGTTCTCTATGTGATGTACCTCTACTTCCAGCTCAAGTCGCATGCGGAGCTCTTCGAAGCAGCCAACGATGAGCTCAATGATACAGAGAACCAGGGCGGCGAAGTAGAAGAGGCTGAGGAGGAGGAGCGCTTGCTCAGTCCGTGGGCGGCTACTGTTGCATTGATTGTCGTCACGGTCTTGGTTGCTATCTGCGCCGACTATCTGGTTGGAAGTATTGACAGCATTGTGACGAAGACTGGCATGAGTCGCACGTTCATCGGTCTGGTTCTCATCCCCATTGTTGGAAATGCCGCAGAGCATGTGACCGCTGTTGTTGTCGCCTGGAAAGGAAAAATGGATCTTGCCATTGGTGTTGCCATCGGAAGCAGTCTTCAGATCGCTCTGTTTGTCACGCCATTCCTGGTCATTCTTGGATGGATTATGAACGTGGATATGACACTTCATTTCCATATCTTCGAGACCATGGCCTTCTTCATCTCTGGACTGGTCGTGACATTCCTGATCCAGGACGGAAAGTCGAATTACCTCGAGGGTGGACTGTGCTTGGGAATGTAAGTTGCTCTTATACTACTATATTTTTCACCCGCCTAGGAGCTTTTACTAACCCGTCACAGGTATCTAATTCTGGCAATTGCCTTCTACATCTACCCAGACGATGTCAACGAAGACGCCCTATTCAACCACTAATATGTTGTTTAATGGGTTGGCACTTATTGAGCCGCTATTTACCAGCGTCTCCGCTCACTTTCTTATTTTCTACCTTTACTTCTTCGTCGTCTCTCCTTAATCTTGTTTAACTCGAGTATGCCGTTGTAACAAGCGAGCTAGCTGCCTCGGTTGGGCTTTGTACAGACATGCCCGGATGCTGTTCTGGGCATTTTTCACGTTTTACTATGGGAGGTGCTTTTGTGTTTCATTCAAGCTGCGGGTCAGTACCACTGTATGCCAGACGGGCTACAATTATGTATTTCAATAGGCCAAGAGCCGAGTTTTCAAAAGTCGCCAATGACTTGTGTCTGTGCTGCAGACCGGAAAACGGGTTAATCAGGAATACTAAAATGCTTTTGTCAGATTTGCAATCATAGATAGGACATTTAACATGTCATAAGATGCAGATTATCCTGTAGAAGTTCGTAGTAGATAATGCAATAGAAATCGTCACCCGGTCATCATCACTGTGGAGGCATTCCATCATGTCCGCAATCCAAGGAAATTCTTGGCGGTGGATGACTCAGCCGCGGATGTGGAGAGGAAAATCGTTCGCCGGCCTCCAAGGCAAGAGAGCCAGATTCGGGTCGATGTGACTTCCTCACCTGCCATCCTCCTTGACATTGATTGTTCATTGAGGGCCTATATCACACCATGCCGCCGCGTCTCAACCTTTTCACCGCACGGGCGGTCCCCGTTCTTCGCCAGTCCGCCAACAGCTCGGCTGCTACCCGACGCAGTTTTGCGACCATCCTCAACACCAACCGGCCTTGCGCGGCCTCGACTGGCCATGGCTTGAAGTCCGGCCTGTCGGCTTCCATTCGGACGCAGAGGAGGTGCAACTCCTCGGGCTCTGATGGGCAGGATAGACCCAAGGGCCCGACCGAGGACCCTTTGCCCCATGTTAGCGAAGAGGCCGCGGAGGTCAGCAAGATCATGGATAAGAAGTGCGATGGTACCCCGGCCAGTCCTGAATTGGAACAGGGAACGCCTATTTCTGAGGTGTGTTGATCCATCTTGGATGCCGTCTTGTAGCTGTTGCTGCTGCGGCTGCTTCTCCCGCGGTATCTGGGTCCTTTATATTGACTATTATCTCCGCATAGATCCTGCAACGTGATAAAGAGGCCCTGAAGCACATGCCCAAGGTCATGCAAGACCAGATGAAGCGCCCCTCCGGTAGCCGTTCATTCTCGACGTCCGCTCGCCGCCTGCAGCCAGAACTTCAGGGAAAGGAATTCGATGATGCCTCGGCGTCGGTCGTTGCCAACATGATCTCCCAGGTCAACCAGCAGGCCACCGAACTCCACCCTGGACTCAAGTTCGAAGCGCCCGAGAACCTTCCCAAGACTGAGAACTTCCGCAAGAGATACGAGACGATAGTGGAGCAGTTCACTAAGCTGCTTATGCAAGATGGCAAGCTGAGCAAGGCTCAGAACGTATGTTTACTCTGCAGAGGGACTTTCTTATTTGAGAGGATTAATACTGACGGTTTTTTGGGTTAGACTATGGCATTCATTTTGGATCACTTGCGCACTGCTCCTCCCCCGAACATCAACCCCCGGCGCCGCTTGCTCCCGGGCCCGCCCGCTCCTCAGCTCCCTCTCAATCCCGTCCTCTATCTCACCTTGATTGTCGACTCTGTCGCGCCTTTGCTCAAGCTCCGTCAACAGAAGGGTATCGTTGGTGGTGGTGTGTCTGTGCAGGTCCCTTCTCCTCTCGCTCTGAGACAGCGCCGGAGAACCGCGATCAAGTGGATCATCGATGCCTCTGACAAGCGTAAGGATAGTCTGTTTGGCCAGCGCGTGGCTAACGAGCTGGTTGCTGTTGCTGAGGGCCGCAGTGGAGTGTGGGAGAAGAGGGAGCAGGTGCACAAGCTTGGTGTGGCTGGCCGTTCTAACCTTGGATTGGTTGCGCGCCGGAGGTAATGTACTTATTCTAGTTTACTTGCGTGAGAGATGGAGAGCGCCATCTCTACAGTGATGATATCAGATGGCGTTCGGCTACATTGTACCTATGATGGTATGCAGTAGGGGAGCTAGAGAGATGGATGGTTGGGATGGTGTTGTATATTATCTGAAACCTGTACCTCATTTTTCTTTGACCGTTTTGAAAGCATTTGGATTAGAAAATTTACGCATAATTGATTCAAAGGAAATATCTGACTAGGTAGTAGTTACTACTGCTAGTTTATAGCCTAGCTAAAGTGTGAGTGAGTGATGCGACTAATGAAGTCCTCGACTTTGGCCACGAGCCAATGGCACAGGCGATGACTAACAGCGCTAGTCGCGGCTGGGACCCTCTCCAATTCTGGCCAATTCTGGTCCCCGGAAAGCAGCTTATCTGTAGCTTCACCGATCCGCATTGCCTGCCTCCTCGCGATCTGTAGGATGCACTTCATCTCCTACAGGCATCTTTCCATTGGCGTGTTAAGCGGTATGCTTCATTGACAGCTGGATCGGGTGCAATCCCTGTTCTAGACGCGTGGGGAAGGAAAGTCTGACGCCGATCGGGTATAGTACTAACTAACTATTCCTGCTGGCGTCCCGTGCTTCATTATTCGTTCTCCCGATAACGACCAACGCACTGCAGATAACTACCAGGCTAGTATACACGACCATCAACTAGCTAGCGTTAGCGGCACGACTTGAGAACGTGGAACGTCGCCCACACAACACCCTCGCACAAATACGCTGGACAGTTCTCCGGCCGCTGTCTCTGCTGCCCCGCTCTTCCCTGCCTCTTTTCCTTCCTGTCCAACACCGTGTCGTCGAATGCCGGCGATCGAACCTGGGCACGCATCGCTTCTGCGAGGGGTGCCTCTCCCGACAATAACGACGTAACCCCAAGCGGCCAGTCCTTCGAACTCGGCCAGTATCCTGACACACCTGCCACAACTGCCCGCCAGTCTCACGCGACTCTTCCTCCTACCCAGCTGACTGACCCGGGGTCTGAATTCCCTCCCTACCATCGTACAGACCACCGGGAAGGTCATCCTCAGAAGTCTACACGGCGGGACAAACCGGTTATCATCAAATATTGGATAGAAGCTCTTCGTCGTCACCCTCACCGCCACCAGACTAGCGGTTCCGCCGACAAGATGAAGTTCTCACATAGCATTCAGTTCAATGCGGTGCCGGACTGGAGTACTTATTATCTGGCTTACAGCAATCTCAAGAAACTGTACGTCTACCCTCTCTCTCCCTCTCTCTTGTCCTCCGCCGGGGGAATTTTCTTCCTATATTGCGAATGTCACATTACACTCCGAGAGTGCATGTTACATTGGCGGAAACTCTCTCTGTTGAATGGATCCCTCTAACTGTTGTCCAATGTTCAGGATTTACTCCTTAGAACAGGAAGTGCATCGATCGGCCGGACATGACCATGTAGATGTTGAACAAGCGCCATTGTTAGATGGCGGCAGTGTGAACACTGATGCGATATTTCGTCGGGCTCTGGATGCAGAGTTGGACAAGATCTGCTCGTTTTATCAATCCAAGGAGGCGGAGATATTTACAGAGGTCGAGGACGTCCTCAGAGATGCCGAGGAATATGCGCACAGGGCCGATACGATGAATGTCGATCCCATGAGTGATGCCATGATCAAGGGTCGCACAGCCAGTTCAAGCTCCAGACAGCGGCCTGGGAGCATTGTTCGTCCGGTGCCATCGAACCAGGAACGGCGTCATAGCGCATTCAGTGAAACACTGGCCGATGATGACGATGACGATGCAGACAGTGACGACGAACCCGCGCATCAGTATCGACCGCAGTCGCATGGCGCCGAGTCTAGCAATCCGGATGGTAGTCGTACGGACGACATGAGGGATTCTGTGCTCTGGGGTGCCGATTCTCGGATTCTGGGCTACAGCGGTCCGTCCACGCACCGCGGGGGTGCACACGACGAGCACTTTTCAGATCCAATTGTCGTAGATCTCTACAATTCCGGGCTCTCGCTGAAGAAGCGGGCTGTTGCGACTTATGTTTCCATCTGTGGACTCAAGTCGTACATTCAGCTTAACAAGACCGGATTCTCCAAGGCGCTGAAGAAGTACGATAAAATCCTTGACCGCAATCTGCGACGGGAGTACATGAATTCCGTCGTGTCTTTGACGTATCCCTTCAAAGACTCTACCATGGAAAAGGTGGATGACAACATTCGCAAAGTCGAAGAGGTCTACGCGAATGTCGTCACCACCGGTAACATTCCCCTCGCCAAGCGTGAACTCCGCCTGCACCTCAGGGAACATGTTGTTTGGGAGCGAAACACGGTCTGGAGAGAGATGATTGGTATCGAAAGGAAGGCTCAGGCTGCGAACGTCGGTATTCGCAGGACGCTTCTGGGCGGAGACGAGGATCCTTCCAGAGCTCGACGCCAAGGGGACGAGCAGGAAGTGGTGTCCAAGATGCTCAGGACGCCGTTTGGAGTCATCCGGATTCCGCAGTGGCTCTGTAGTTTGAGTCTCGTCACGCTCGTTCTCATCCTGCTTGTCTTTGGCATTTTGTTGTCTGTCCCGATAATGGAGAAGCCGGAACAGCAGAATTGTCTGGCCATGCTTGTTTTTGTCAGCTTGCTGTGGGCTACAGAGGTCGGTTCATCCCCTACATCCTTCTTCAATAGCTAACCTTGGAGTCTGTCGCTGCAGGTTATTCCTCTATTCGTCACATCGCTACTCATTCCTTTCCTCGTCGTGATGCTCCGTATCATGTTGTCCGACAACAAGCCCCACGAACGCTTAGGCGCGAAGGAAGCCACCGCCGCTGCTTTCAGCGCCATGTGGACGCCAGTCATCATGCTGTTGCTAGGAGGCTTCACCATCGCTGCCGCGCTGTCCAAGTACGATATTGCTCGTCGTATGGCCATGTTCGTCCTGAGTAAAGCGGGGTCCAATCCCAACATCTTACTGCTCACCAACATGTTTGTGAGCATGTTTCTGAGTATGTGGATCAGCAACGTCGCCTCGCCGGTGCTCTGCTACTCGATCATCCAGCCTCTGTTGCGTAATTTGGCGCCCGATTCCAGCTTTGCCAAGTCCCTTGTCCTAGGTATTGCTTTGGCCGCCAACGTGGGCGGTGCCGCGTCGCCAATCGCATCGCCTCAAAACATCATCGCTTTGCAGAATATTTATCCGAGCATGAGCTGGGGGACCTGGTTCTTCATCTCACTGCCAGTGTGCATTCTCTCCATTGTCGCGATCTGGATGCTTCTGGTGCTTACCTTCAAGCCCGGTCGCGAGACGGCCGTCGCCATCCGTCCCTTGAAAGACAAGTTCACGGGAGTTCAGTGGTTCATCAGTATTGTCACTCTATCAACCATTGCGTTGTGGTGTGGCAGTCACCAACTCGAGCATATTTTCGGAGATATGGGCGTTATCGCCATTATTCCCATGGTCCTGTTCTTCGGCACGGGTATCCTTAATAAAGAGGATTTCAACAACTTCCTCTGGACGATCATCATTCTGGCCGCCGGTGGGCTCTGCCTCGGAAAGGCCGTCACGTCCTCGGGTCTCCTTCACACCCTTGCGAATGCCATCCGCATGCGGGTGGAGCATCTGAGTCTTTATGGTGTGCTGCTTGTGTTCTCCGCCCTCATCCTGGTCATTGCCACGTTCATCTCCCACACCGTGGCCGCCCTGATCATGCTCCCGCTTGTGCGACAGATCGGACTCGGCATGGATGACCCGCACCCGAACCTGCTCGTGATGGCGAGCGCATTGATGTGTTCGGTAGCCATGGCTCTGCCGACCAGTGGCTTCCCTAACATGAGTAAGTCACCTCCACTGACAATACTAGAAAAATATGTACATACTAACAACTCGCAGCGGCCATCATGACCGAGGTACCCCAGACGGGTCAGCGGTATCTGCAAGTCCGTCATTTCTTCACCCGCGGTATCCCCGCCAGCTTGATGTCCTTTGCCGTGATTGTAACGGTAGGATACGGGCTGATGTACATTGCTGGACTGTGAGCTGTTGTTACAACATCTTACACTAATTGCTTTGCTTTGCTTTGTTACTGGTTTACCTTATATGTGGTGGAACGCAAAAGATAATAGGCCTGATCCGAGCTGATTTAGCCACGCGGCGCAATCTGGTCTGGGCATGCTATATGAGAGAGTGCGTTTTTATGGTGGATGTTGCTTATGGTTATACTCGATGGCGATGGTCCCGATCTACTTTCTTCTTTGTCTTCTCGTTTGGCTAGATGATGAACGATAGAACTATACCAGATTGAAGCTATAGAAGTAGGAGATGTAGGCTATGGACTCAATTCATTACCCTGTACTAGGAACTACTGACCATTAAATAGAGATGGTAGTATGATGGAAAGTACAGGTCTGTACAACACAATTGACACAGAAAGCAGCTCCTGCACCTGCTCATGCATAAACACAAGAAAGGAAAGAAAGAAAGAAAGAAGTAAGCAATATCATCATTCATCAATCGCGTTATGAAATAAAAAGACAACCACAACCAGATCTAGACCGTATCGAGCAACAGTCAATCATAAACATAACATAACAGAGTAACATATGTATGATGAAGAAAAATCACAAGGTCGGTCAAGTAGTAGTAGTAATAGTTGTAGTAAGACGAAGGTATCGTATCAAAGCGTCATCATCGGAAACAAATAAACAGGATGAAAGAAGAGTATAGCAGACACCGCAGTGAGACACAAACACGAGCGGGATAGTAACTAATAATGTCCAACGAGACTGAACTTTTCCCAACAAGAAAATCCCAGTACTCTTTCCCCCATCTTCAACACACTCAGTTCCTATCCGCACGAATTAGTCACGTATGTCCCAATATAAGATGTATGTATGTATGTATGTGTGTAGTGTAGTAGTGTAGCGCTCGCTCGATGTCACGAACTGAGGTATATCAGATAAATCATAATAGGGTGGGTATATATCAAGTTGCAACCCAGGGCATGGGCATCAACGGGAAAGGAAAGGAAAGGGGAAAAAGGGGGAGAAAGGGAAGAAGGGATAAACATACAACAACCCAAGGGTAAGATCACCATGAATCTTAGCCTTCAACTGCACCTCAATATCCAAATTGAGATCAAGTCTCAACCTCAACTGCTCATCCTTGCCTTCCTTTTCATCCCCGCCGCCGCCGCCTCCGCCGAGTATCCCGCCTACAGCTTTGCCCGCACTGCCTGTTACTCCGTTCAGTGCGTTGCCTGCTGTGTTTTGGACGAGATCGCCGGCTTGGCCCACGCCGGGGAGACCGCCCAATGGTCCGCCGTCTTGGCCTTGTTGTTGCTGTTGGGGACGCTGGCGGCGCTGGCGGCGGGGGCGGTCTACTTGTTGGTTGTTGTTGTCCATGTCGGAGTATTCGTCTCTTTGGCGGAGTTTCTGGGGTGGTCGGGAGCGACGTTTACGGTCTTGGTTGTTGGTGGGTTGGGGGGCGCGTTGTTCTGGTTCTGGTTCTGGTTCGGAGTCGGAGGATTGGGGTTCTTGTTTGGGGGTTTTGGTGTCTTCTTCTTCTTTCTCTTCTTGTTTGGGTTGGGGTTCTCCTTCTTCTTGAGGTTCTTGTTTAGGTTGAGGGTCTTCTTCTTTGTCCTCTTCCTTGGGTTTGTCTTCTGTGTCGTTGTTGTTCTCGGTGTTATCCTCAGGCTTCTGTTCTTGTTCTTCCTGATCACCAGTAGGAGGGTTCTCTTGTTGGGGGGAGGAAGGGGACGAGGTATTGTTCTCTCCTTCTTGGGAAGGGTTATTGGTAGAAGAAGACTCAGGCTGCTTGGACTGATCAGACATGATGAAAGAAAGAGAAAGAGAAGAGGAGGAAAGGGAAATCAACGAGATCTAATACTTCAGCGGCGGTCTGGGGCACGGGGACGTACACTATATAGGGCTCGGCTGGACCGTCCAATGGCCGGGCAATATTTATAGATGCAGGCTGAAACTTACCCGGCGGAATACGCAAGGGAGTAGTAGTAGAGAGCAGAGTGAAAGTAAAGATGAGGGAGGGGGGCGGAGGCGACGTCAGTCGATGTATGGAAAATAAAATGAAAAAAGAAAAATATGGGGGGGAGGATCCAAGCCAGTATGTCATTTGTGCCACTCATCCTCTACCTTGCAGGTAAGATGAATGAATGATGGATGACGATGATGATGATGATGACGTCGCGTGGCTGGAGTTCCCTACTACATCTTACTAGTATCTTTACTTTTAATTTAGTACATCGGAGAATTATTGGAGAGATCGTCGCACTTCGGCCGGGATCGCTAAAGGGCATCGTAATCTTCCTGGGATCATCTTCATCTTCTTGTCTGTGACTGGACTGGATCCACTATACGACGTCAGTGCACTGACTGGGTTTAGTTGGTCCACCTGAAAGCCTGTCAGACTTTACTTGGTCCCCCTCTCTATTTACTGGCTTAATCTACAGTAACTGTGTCTATTAGGTATTTTCTTTGTCTTCTTCTGCCTTCAAGTTTATGGCAAAGAAATATCCCGGTATATGGCGACTCGGATACAGTTGCCGCGAGACTTTCAAGGGATAACCGTGGATGCTGGCGGGAGGTTTCTTGGATCACACGTTTCGGCCGGCGGCAATGCAGACGAGGGTTCCATGGTCCAAATGTATCACAATCAGGGAATGAGTATCCGAAGTGTCGCGATGGAGGCACGTTATTGATGGTGACACAGACCACAACACCTACAGGGAGAGAATAGAAAATAGAAAATAGAAAAAAGAGGGTCCGGGCAACGTGGACATCGATGACGATCACTGGCTCGACCGTCATCGGCTGACTTGAGGATCTTCTCAGACACAATGCCGTTGACGATGATGATGATGCAGTCATGGTGAAAGTCTTCAATTTTAATTAAATGAAAGGAAGAGCATCATTGGTGAAGGTGAAGTCGCCCAGCCGCTCCCTCCCTGCGCCCACAACGTCATCCTCCCATCCTCCAGCCCTGCACGTTCATTTCTCCACACCTCCAAACAAACGGCCATACATCATTTTCTGGTTTTCGTTTTCTTTTCGTTCTAGAGTTTAGGTTTTTCCCTTCGTTTCCCTCCGGAGTGTACTCCCTTTTTTTTCCAATTTTTGCATGTTCAATTTACTACTATTATTCTCACTGTCTGTCTGTCTGTTGTGTCCGCACTCCGGCCGACTGACGAATTGCCCCATCCAGCAATCCTAACGAAGACTGACCACTACTACTTACTTCCCTCTCTTCTTCGCCTCCCGCATTCGGGGTCCCTTTTGTATGTAAACCAAGTCATGCCGCTCTGCCCGCTTTCTGCAAATCTAACAGTCACTTCGGGCTGGTAGGAAATTATATCAATCCCATCCATTACATCTCTCTCACCAGTCACCACAACCCCGCCATCCCATCTTCTGCCCCGTTTCACTACTCCATCCCCCACAATCTACTACTAGATCAATATGGCTACCGCTCAGGCTGAGAAACCAGCCACCAAAACCTTTGCTAATGATCCTGATGATGTCTCCGACTACGATTCCGAGGATGACTATTCTGACGATGACACCCAACAAAAGCCTCAACAACAGCAGCAACAACAACAACAACGCCGTCGTCGTCGTCCCCGGCAGCAAGACCCCAACGATGAAGACGGCACCTACTATTCCGATGAGTACTCGGATGATTACGATGACTACGACGACTACGACGATGAAGATGATGACTACTACGACGACGAGGAAGAAGAAGTCCAGGCCATGGAACGCTACCAGCCCACCACCATCAGCAGCCGCGACAATGTGCCGGCACAACCGATCGCAAACGGCGGTATGCAAGAAGCGGAAGGTAAAACCGGCGATGACTGGGAGGATCAAGACGGAATGAAATTGAAATTGGAATTGAACTTGGATATTGAAGTCGAACTAAAGGCTCATATTCATGGTGACTTGACGTTGTCGTTGCTGTAAGTACTCCCCTTTTTTCTGCTTCTGATTGATCACATTGATTGCGGCGGCGGGGAATCTGGCCTGCGTGCGGACCAAATGCATGCAATGCAATCAATCAAATCACTTAATCTCGTTCGCTACTAGTACTTGATCGAGATCCGATGGTTGACATGATACCCCTTCTCTTTTCCAGCGCATGATTTCGCCTCTCGCCTCTTGCCTTTTTGCCTCCAGCACCGCTGCATTTCTATCATGTTCATCCGTCTTTCCTCCGTCGCCGAATCCCGAGCGTGTTCGGTCGTCGTCGAATAGAACCAAATCAATCTTCCGGCCGAATTAGTTCATGGTTCGTTCGATAAATTCCCGGGGTTAAGAATGGGTTTCTTTTCTTTTTCTCTTTTCGCCACATTGCTGGCGCGTGTGTGGTTGACGGTCGGTCGCTCGGTCGGGTTCCTGGCGATCGTTGCACTTTTCGTCCATTTCGGCCGGCGCTCGCAAAATCCACTTCATTCCATTCCGTTCCGTTTCCGTTATGACGTTTACGAAAGGACTTTCCTCGGTGCTTTTCTTTTTCTCTTAACAATAGCGGTTGTTATTTTGCAATGAATTGCCTTGTATTCTTTTTTTCTACATTGCCATTGTTCGGATAGAAGTGGCGACTGCACTTGGGTACTGATGTATGCGATGTTTCTTACGTATCTATGGTGATGCGATGCTTATTTTGACCCATCTACTCCATATTTCAGTGTCTGTGCGCACTTATACCTTTGTTGGTATGGTTTGCTTGATCGTTAGCAGCTATTATAAAGCATAGTATTCTTTCTCTCCGAATATATAATCATATGTCGATATGTGAGTAGTGCTCTGTAGATTTCTGCATATCATGTGCCTCGCCAACGCCGACCGTAGTATACAATGTCACAATAGTTAGAGAATATCCTTATTCACAAGACACAACGATAGCCATCAATCCGACGTATTTCAATGTACTAGACTGGAACTACTGCAGAGCAACTGAAGTCACTAACACGATACCGAATTTTACAATATGCATCGCATACTTCTAATGTACTCAACACTGACCTCCAGATGGAGCGTAAACGAAGTAATCATGAAGAAAATGAATATCTTAAAAAATAATACTTTAACTTATACGAGCCAGGGAGACCGACGATAAGTAGACTATTTGTAAAGGGTCACTATTTAGATCCAGATATGCATGTATCGTCGCCACCATACCCTTGCGTAGTGGTACGCTGCATGGAAGAGATATCTATAGTATTGTTGAAATGCTGTGAAACTAGGGAAAATGGTTTATGCCTTGCTTGATATAAAATGGCTCTGCGCGTTTATCAAAGTAGTACATCTCTCCTTCTGGATATTCGCCGTGGAAGTTCGGATCTGAAGAAAATCATACATATAATTATCGAAATATGCTGGGAGTAATTTTACTTGGTGGGTCTCATCATAGGTATAGATGCTACTTACTAGTTCTTCTATATCTCAGAGATAAGTACATGAGACTTTGGTGGTATGAGCTGGATACATGATATATTTTGAATACCTCACATAGTTTCTATCCGTTGTGGATGGTTATGGATTGCAGGTGCTCTTCTAGTAAATTATCTCAATAATTTCACTGGTCAACTGGCGCTACATGATTTTGAACGTCAGATATCGAGACATCCAGTCCGTCAGTTTGCCTATTTTTCTTATCAGAGATATATCACTGGGCTATCATGGCCAACACATTCCTGCGAGTAGTATTAAAGACATGGTAAGATAACTGTTTTTGGCGCATTAATGGTCAAACATTGCGGGAACAACTGTCTAATTAATACTCACTGCTATTGTTGTGAACTGACCTAAGTGTTTAGTCGATTGTGGTATACTCCTACTTAGTTCGAAGATCCAAACCCTATAGGGTAGGGGGGATATAGTCCAGCTACTAGTATATGATATACTACAGAGTTTATAGGGAATAAAACTTGTTCTATATTATAGCTTGTAGCCTATCTTAGCTCTTCGTGTTGATAAACATTAGAGTAGCGAGCCAGTAATTGCTCGGAATATAGTATCAACTACTACTAACAATATCAATGTCAATATTGATATAGGAACAACGATATTATTTGTGACTCAACGCTACTTTTCTGCGATAAGGCGACAGGAATGCGTCATTGGTCGATATAAGGTAGAAATGCAAGCGCATTCGACCGATTTGCGATACTTTTCCAGAGTGTATATATATCTTGTGTCAGTCAATGGCTACACAGTATAGCATTGCATGTCCCTACTTGCATTGAGGCTGTCAAGACATGGGATTCGCCGTTTTAAGTATGCTGTTCTTGGGGGAACCCCTTCTTCAATTATAGCTAGGTAAAATTGATTGTGTCGTGACTCACTATTCTTAACTGTCTATCAGTATTGCTGGGAGTAATCGCTATACTATATTGGCCAGTTAGGTAACATCCAGCGTCGGCAGATTGTGAGCTGCACTTAAAGTGCTGTAGGATACTGGACATTGTGACAAGTGATGACTTGAAGAAGTGCTAATACTTTTAGTAGCTCTGGAATCTGTGGTTTCAATACTAACTGCCAGAATCATGAGTGGTTATAGTAAGAGAAAATATGGTGCTGATTCACCTGCAGAATGAGCAGGGTGCTCAGAATATATAGTGAGACTTTTATTGCATGATATAGCATTTCTAGCACTGAGATGACACCAACATTCGCTAGATCCCATATTAAATATATATACGCAATATACAACGATATTGATATAGTAGAACTCAGAGCAGACAACTTCACGTGTGGCCCCAATATTGCGGAGTGCCAGTTCCTCGGGAAGGGTGAGCCCATCACGAAGATGACGATCCCGAGGTACTCTTGGCGGGATCAAAAAGGAGTCTCGCAAACTGCCACCACTTGATCGCCTAAACCCGCGCATACCAGCAGCCATTTCCTAACTACTCAACATATATCAACCGCCAAATCCCACCCAATACAAAAAAGGAAGCAAAAGGGAAAAACAGCAGACAAGAAGCAAAAATGGCACCAGACCGCTCCAACATTTCCTTCACCATCACCCACATGAACGCCAACCACCAAGACTCCCTAGCAGCCTATCTCCAAGTCTACTGCCACGTCTCCGCGCGCGAAGCCAAATCCGCCCGCCTTGAAGACATCAGCTTATCCGATCTCGTCATCAGCGCCAATGGCACACGCTACACCGTGCCCATCGACCCAGCAATGGGAAGTTTCTCCGAGTCGCGATCCCGCCTGGTAGCCATGCACCAGGAATGTCTTGCGCGACTGGGTCGGTCGGACATCACCATTAAGGAGTATCGACGGCCAGAGGGGATAGAAATCTTCCTCTTCTTCGTGTTTGCAACGGCATTGGTGGCATTCTCTCGACGCAGTAACTTCCTACCTGGGTCGTTGTTCTACGAAACGGTTGGACTGGGAGCGGTTCCGCCACTGGCGCAACTGTTTTACAAGACACAGCCGTTTGTGCTTACGGTGATGGCCGGGTCGCATGTGGTGGAGGCGAGTTTGCTCACGGTGAAGAGGTTGCGGCGGCATGGAGTGCCGGTGTTGTCGTTGGTGTGGTGCGCTTGGGTGGTGTCGAATTTGATTGAGGGGTATACGGTGTGGATGAGGTTTGATCGGATGGTCAAGGAGGAGGGGGCGAAGAGGGAGCATCGGAAGTAATCAGATACATTGTATGTAATTCACTATCTACCGGATTAATGAACCACAACACATTGAGACATATTGACATATTGAACTACTACTAACAGACTAGTGTCTCCTGCTCTATTGCGCAGTGGCTTATCGCTTATCGGCTAGTTAGCGGGCATCGACTAGCGGCTTACTCATCACATCACGGGACCACACTAAACCAATCCCAGACTAGGGTAGTAGGGCAACTTCCACAAGCGAGCCACAGTGCGAAATTCAACGGAAGCCGACGACAAGCACTCAACTCCTTACGACCAACCCAACGACCCTTGCCCGCTGCGTTCCTGGTGAAGGGCTGCAGGATTAGAGGTGAGTTTGTTGCAATTAATCCGTCGTGATTTCGATCCCTCTCGATTTTTCCCGGTGTTGTCGACGGTCGGTGTGCGCGTGCAATCTACGATCGGTCTCGAATTGAAGAATACATTCCGGGGTATATCGAAGAGAAGAAGAAGAGAAAGATTATCAGAGCAGGTGTTTGGTGCAAGGGAAATATTAGCGGCGGCGACGACGACGATTGAAAAGAAAGAACAACTCAAAGAAAGAATTTTTTTTTCTTCGCTTTCTCGTCCATACCCGAATTCGCACACATTTCCAGCATCGAGCATCGCCACACACACACAACGCACACAATACATAACAATTCAATTCAAATTCACTCAACAATCGCACGAACAACCATCGACGCATTGGGACAGATTTTTTTCGAAAGAGGGATTGACAATCATCGACAACAGTCTACTACTGCTATTGCTACTAGCGAGCAATCCCGCTAATACTTCTGCCATCTACAGTCCCCTCGAACAGCAAACATGGGTATCTCACGCGACTCTCGTCACAAGCGCTCGGCTACCGGCGCGAAGAGGGCCACCTACCGCAAGAAGAGGTATGCATGAGTTCCTACTGTCTCTATTCCAGTACATTACACTACGAAAAGAATACGACTGACGCACGGCATCAATCCAACAGGGCGTTCGAGAAGGGTCGCCAGCCCTCCAACACCCGTATCGGCACCAAGAGAATCCACCTGGTCCGCACCCGTGGTGGTAACCAGAAGTTCCGTGCCCTTCGTCTCGAATCCGGCAACTTCTCGTGGGGTTCTGAGGGTATCTCCCGCAAGACCCGTGTCATCGTTGTTGCCTACCACCCCTCCAACAACGAGCTCGTCCGCACCAACACCCTGACCAAGTCGGCCGTCGTTCAGATCGATGCTGCTCCTTTCCGTCAATGGTACGAGGCTCACTACGGCCAGCCCATCGGCCGTCGTCGCCAGCAGAAGACCGAGACCACCGAGGAGAAGAAGTCCAACAGCGTTGTGAAGAAGCAGGCTGCTCGCTTTGCTGAGCAGGGCAAGGTCGAGTCTGCTGTTGAGCGTCAGTTCGAGTCCGGTCGTCTGTACGCTGTTGTGTCGTCCCGCCCCGGCCAGAGCGGCCGCGTGGACGGATACATCCTGGAGGGTGATGAGCTGGCTTTCTACCAGCGTGCTATCCGCAAGTAAAGAAATCCAATACACAAAAGCGAATAGTTCACGTTGTGTGGTTGTTAAGTTAAAAGGGCTGGATGGATCGGAGTTAGCATTTTCCAGAAAATTAGCTCTGAATTGATGGATGAATCAGATGTTCACACTTTGCCCATAAACTATCAGCTGTAGTGTACTATGTAGTGTAGTTCATACCAACCTAAGTCATTAGTTACCTTGTTATCCGATGACGAAACCTCCTACCTACCTACCTACCTACCTATTAACTAACTTAGTTAATTAACCCCTCATACCTACCTACCTACCTACCTACCATTGATGTAACCACCACACCTTCCATCTATACCTTCCCTTTACCCCATACCCTCCCACCTCACCTTATCTCACACAACACAACCATCATCACCACCACAACCACCCCCAAATCCCACCCAACAATGACCACACCCAAAACCATAAAAACCTCAATCCTCCTCCTAAGCGACACCCACACCCTCACCCCCTCCCCGCCCTCCCACCCCCCCAGCACAACCCCCTACCGCCACCCCCTCCCCCCCACCGACCTCCTCATCCACGCCGGCGACCTCACAAAAGTCGGGCACAAGCACGAGCACCTCACGACCCTCTCCTTCCTCAAACTCGCCCCAGCACCCCTAAAACTCATCATCCCAGGCAACCACGACATCACGCTCGACGAGCCATACTACAAACGTATCGGGCACTACCGCCACCGCTACCGCACCGACCACACGGCCCCCTCCGCCACCAGTGGAAGCGATAACGTCTCCGCGGGGAAACTCACGCCCGGTAGGGGACTCTCCGATGAGGAGTTACGGGAGATAAAGAACCTGTATACGGGGCAAGAGGCACAGGATGCAGGGATTAGGTATTTGGAGGAAGGGATGCATGTGTTTAGGTTGGGGAATGGGGCGGTGCTGAGGGTGTATGCGAGTCCGTATACGCCGGAGTTTTGTCAGTGGGGGTTTGCGTATCCGAGGGAGGTTGATAGGTATAATCCTCCGGAGGAGGGGGATGGGGATGGGGATGGGGAAAGGGGAAGGGGGCTAGTGCCGGACTATCCCGGGGTAGATGTGATGATTACGCATGGACCGCCGTATGGGGTGTTGGATCAGGTAGTGCCGAATCATATGAGTGTGGGGTGTGAGCATTTGTATCGGGCTGTGAAGAGGGCGAGGCCGAGATTGCATGTGTTTGGACATATTCATGAGGGGTATGGGGCGACGAGGAGGGAGTGGAGTTCGGGGAATGAGAGTGTGATTCAGTGTGATAAGGAGAGGACGTTGGAGGAACGGTGTGCGAGGGTGGATGTTAGTGCGGAGGGGGGTAATGGGTTGAGGGTTGGGGAGGAGACGTTGTTTGTTAATGCGAGTGTGGTGACGGTGCAGTATCATCCTCTTAATGCGCCGTGGGTGGTGGAGATGGATTTACCGGCTGAGTAGGAGTGCCTTGATGGTACGTGGTCTGTCTGTCTATGAGTACGGTTCCAGTACATATTTATTTATTCTTTCTTAAGGCTGTCACTTATGTCTGTGACATGATAGTTACTCAACACTGTTAATATTAATGTTACACTGATGCTGTTCATTGCAATGCAGCTACCTGTACAATCACCGATATGGCTTAATAATATACATGTACAGTCCAACAAACGAGATGTCCAACAGAAGGGAGAGAAGTGAAGTAGGTATCTCACTAAAAATGTATATCATGCCTGGATATGTCAAGAAATGAAAGTGCTTTAAAATGTAATAATGTCCAACCAGAGAAGTGAAGTATAATGACTGTGCAACCGGCCGGATTCCACGCTGCAATGCAAGACAATGCCGATGTCGACGCTGAATGAAATAGAATGCAAAAATGATGAATGTCCAGACATTATCGGAAAGAAAGAAAGAAGTCTGCGAGGTATCACTCCTCGCGCACGGGCGTCTCCGTCCGGAAATCTAAGCGGCTACCCTTGCGACTGACTCCTTTGAGCAGACTGAACCGCTTGAAGACTGAGTCGCGCATGCCGCCGCTCTGGCTGACCGGACTCATCAATTCAGGGCTGCGAACAGAATTGACACTGCTCCGCGTCACCGGCCGGGGGTAGTCGGTGATCGAAGGAATCGTCGACCATCCGCCCTTATGGCTGCTCACGGATGGCCGATCATCCGCAGATGTCCCATTGGTGTGGGAGGTGGTCCGACTCACGCTGTCGTGCGACTTGCCTGCCGTGTCGCGAGAAGCACTTCTTGTCCGTTGCTTCTTCTGGCTCTGGCTCTCTTCAGTCGCGCTGGCGCTTATCGACAATGACGATGCGTGCTTGTGTAGCACATCGCCTAATCGGCTCCGTCTTTTGTGATGGGTGTCTCGCGACTGAGTAGTCGTCCGGCTGTGAATGGTGGCTGCATCATCCTGGTCGACCTCCCCGTTGACGTGCTCCTCTGTGGTTGTGCCATTGGCCTTGGCATCCGACTGCGGCTTTGGGTCTTCTTGCACCGTAGACACCGAATTGCTCGCCGCGTGATTGCCGCGCTTGAAAGGGTTCATGACACTGATCCGGTGACTGACAGACTGCTTGGCAGAGTGCTTGCGACTATGGTTCTTCCGCGAAGAGCGAATCAGTTCCTGCTCGGGACTAAGCGCCCGCGACGCAGGCGGCTTCTGGCGTTCCTTGATGGACTCCGGAGTGCTACGCCGAGGCCACTGAGGCGTCTGTTCAATTTCTGCCGGACGGAGCGAAGAGATTTCCGGCCCAAATGCCTCTTCGAAACGGCGCGTCAACTCGGCTTGCGTAGCCTGATGCGCCGGCCGGTGGTACAATGCCAGCGCTTGCTTGATAGCCAAGGCATGGTCGATGAGGGCCACTGCCAGTGCATTCTTCATTGGGTCGACCGGCTTCGGTGTCACTAGACCACCCTCCTCCTCTTCATGCGCATCAGACAAGAACGGGCGATAAGCAGCAACGCAGTTGGGGGTGGCTGCGTGAAGGTCGAGCAACTGTTCCAAAGCCTCGCTGAGGTTGTTAAAGCCCGTGTCCTCCCCGGAGGCCGCCCTACGCTGCAACATGGACAGCTCATGTGTCTTGCGCCACGTCCGTTCGAGCGCCGTATGCAAAGGCGACAGTGCAACTTCCTTCACCTCGATCACCTCGCTTCTGCGGAGGATGTTCGGGAAAGGCTCTGCAGTGGTGTAAACCGTCTTCTCAACCCACTGCTCCTTGACATCCACGTCACGAACGTGCTTTCGTAAGGTTGAGCTGAAGTGACAGGGCTCCGACACCAGAAGATGGTCTCGAACGGACTGCGGGATCTTCGATCGTTGGTAGACCGGATGATCCACGTCGCGATGGACACTGACAGGATTGATGTGCAGGTATTGGCCCTCGTAATCATGTACTTCTCCGGAAGACACGACCTGCGCTGCAGGGTGCTCCCGCTGCATACGGTCAATGAAAGAGACCATACGCTCCGTTGGTGCACACTCGATGATGAATTGCTTGTCGCGAAGAGTGGTAGGGAACCCGAGTCCCTTGTATTGCACACGGAAGTACCGCGGGAACTGCTTGCTTTCCTTCGAGATGAGATCGTAAATCTTGGCCATGGAGCCGTGTGCTCGTGAGAGCTTGGCAAAATCCACCACAATGTCTTCGTACTGCTGCGCGAGTTCCTTATAGCACACCAGTGCATGTGCCCAGGCTTTGGCGTCCTCAAAGTGTTGAATAACCGCAAAGTAAAGGGCTTCCTTTCTCTCGAAAGAAGTCTGCTCTGGGAAAGGCGGGTTGAGCAGCTCAGGCAACATCCGCTTAGGATCCCAATCATATAGATCGGCATGGAATTGAAGGGCCAGGCCGGCCTCGGTGAAGTTTCCTGCTGCGGCCTGCACCTGAGCGAGCTCGTGGACGTAGCGGATGAAAATATCTTCACGACCCATGTCTTTCATGTACTTCATCAACCGAAGAGTGTGTAGGCTCTCGGCCATGGAGCCTCCCTGAGAGGCTACGAAGAGGTCGAGCAGCTCATCCACAGTCGCGATCAGGGCCTTGACCGCATTGGATAGGTCTTCGTCGTAGTCTGCGGAGCTTTCAAAATGATCTGACAGTTCAGCAATGAATAGTTTCTGCACAACACTTTCGCTCATGTTCTTCCTCTTGAAAAGATTATCCAAGCTGGAAATAACCTCCGTTTCGATTATAGAGAGATCCTGGTTCAGACCCCATTCGCTCAGAATCATCGTCCGTAGGATGTCGACGGCCACGTGCCGTAGTCCTTCGTGGACACTGAGACAAAGCTCAATTATGGGTGCTACCAGGCCAGGAACATACTGCACCTGATAGCCGCCCAACCGACTCAACCCGTACTGTTCTTTCTCCTCATCAGTGGTTTCCCAGCCGATTGATTCCCAGCTAGAGTGTAGCAAGTCCGCACCCTGTTCCCGGACATCGCCCGCGATCTTCCAGATGGCGCGTCGCTTCTGCTCGGGGTAGGTCTCAAGAGCAAGAGCATCACTTGAGACAACCTTGAGCAAAGTCATGAAAAATGTCTCCCATAGTCTCGTATCGAACGTTTCCGCATCATCGGGGGATGGAAGGAATTTATTGGTCAAGATGGTTGCCAGATACTCCAGACTCTTGACAGTCGCCCGGTGGTTGTAGACATGAACGCTGAACCAGCTTTCAGGATACGCTTCGCAGTTGAGGATCGAAGTGTGTACTTCGAATGCCTGTGTAAGGAAACTGGAGAGCTCTAGGCCCTTCAGCCGGGGCCGCTTAGGGTTGGGTATTGTCGCCGCTCCAGCCAGAACTGCGGACAGCTCCACCAGCGCTTCGTCGAATTTCTGAGAGTGTTTGGAGGATTTCACCTGGAACGGGAATGATTTGCTGAAGAGCAAAGAAAGGTAGGTCGTCTCCTCAACACCGTCAGGGATGATGGAATAGTACGAGGACACAATCTTCGGCACAAACTCGTACAGGTACGGGTCTGGTTGTTTCAAAAGCTCCGCCACGATCGCACAACACAGCCGGACCTGGTCGCGGTAGAGGTCCGATACAGAACCTGTCGCACCCCAGTAGGGTGCCAACCAGCTGATACAGCTGGACACCAGGCTCTTTCGCTCCGATCCTGAGCCGAATATCTCTAGCCGTGTGTAGTGTTGGATGAGAACCAGCTTATAGAGAATCAGCATGCCCGTGACATCCTTGCACGAGTCAATGAAGCTGAGTGCGATCATGATCGCCTCATCACGACTGAGTACTTTCGAGAGCTCCGGGAGCCAGGTGTGGAAATGCTGAACCACGAGGGTTTTGTTTCCCACCATCGCAGGCGAGGGGTTTTTCATCAGGGCTTCGAGCGACTTGAATATTGTATGCAGATCCCGGTTGAACGTCGACTGTACTCTAGTGATGCCAATACCTTCCTCTTTCTCTTTCTGCTGCAGACGGGCATTGATGATGAACTTGAGGACATGGCGTCCTACCTTGAACGTTGCACGGAGATTCCGCGACTGCTGAGCATCGGAACTGGCCTGAAGGAGACGTAGATAGCTTCTGACGAGACACGGCGTAGCGAAGGGGAAGTTGAATTGATTATCGGCGTAGTGATCAACTAACGGGCCCAGGTTGAACCGTCGGTCGTGAACAATACCAAGAACCGTCACGAGATCGTTGAAAATCAAGTCCTCGTACTCTTCATTGCCTGCATTTTCCACCAAGATCCCGAAAAGGGAGTCCAAGACGCTGCTGAGCTGCTTCACAATCTCGATCTCCGGGACAAAAAGGACACGCTTAAGGGTATCTAATACTTCGTTCACAGGTCGTTCCCTCCAGTTCAAAAGGCTGAGTATCACCTGATCCTGTGAATATTCCGTGCTGCAGAGATGTGTATCTAATCGCAGGGTAGCCAAAGGACCGGTGATTGCCTCGTCTTTCGCCGACTCATTCTTGCCCAGCGAACTCCACGGTAGAGAGAGATAGGCTCCCTTGCCATTTTCGATATGCGACGTATGCTTATCGTAGGCATGCAACAGGAGCGAATGAGGGCCGTCGCGCATAAAGGCCTGGTTGTCCCACAGCGGCATCCAGGCAAGCGCAAAGGGAAACTCGGGCGCATCTGCAATACTCATGATCAAATGCGATCCAGGAATCTGGTCGGTGGGGATATTGAGACGAATGGTTTGGTTCCAAGGCGCACCCCGATCGGCTACTGTGGTGCGCCATGCTGTCTGTGCTGCATGGTTGGACGCGGGGAGAACGCACCGATCAACGCGCGCCCCCGACGATGTGCGGACCTCCAGAGTTAGTTGCAGGTTACGGAGTCCTGTATGCCCTGGAACCGGAATTTGACCGGATTGCGGATGCGAAAGCAGTGCTTCTGGAGGAAACGTCGCGTGGGAGATTGTCACGTAAATATCCGACCGAGGTTTTGTTGGGGCCTGAGAGAAGCCCATCCTCCTCGTTTGAACAACATTGTGCAAGGATGTGGGATTTTTCCGGACCAGGCTATCTGCGTCGGGGTCCACATAGGGGTAGAGGTG